AAGGCACAAAAAACCTCCTACTGTTGCAGGACCATCCTGCGACCTGGTGGACAAGGCAGTGGGGATGTTCTCGACGGAACCGGGTGTTCTGACTAACACGACGAAGCATCGACCCTCGGAAATGGAGAGGATAATAATGGACCTTGAGATAGGAAAATCAATGAGTTTCGAATGTCGCCGCAGAATGCCCAGCTTATCATGACTTGTGTGGCCCAGCCGGTGATGCATTCATTAAACCTTGGGCACTTGACTCAGTCACTAGGACTGTCGATGTCGGGAATTCACCGATTTGGTGCGACAGAGTATGGTACGTGTATTGTCGGGAATGTGCCTCGTAGAGTGCTGTGAACGCTCCATCGTCATCGTGGCTTGAGTCCAAGAGTATGGAGAGATGGAGGCAACTAATGTTGGTCCGCATGGTGAGCATAACCAACAGAGAAAGGTTAAATTGGAGTTCTGGGATGTGGTAAAACATCCTGCCGATACATCGAGAGTGGCTGCCCAAAACATCGGTTACTTCTAGTCGAAGTGTACCGCATCCAACAACGCGAAGTTGATGGCTATCAGCCTCACCAGCGACGGTTGAGTACGTATTGAACCATTCATGACAAAAAGTCGAGTGTTTGGACGCACCGTTGTCTATCGTCCAGTGACAAGACTGAAATTGTGGTTCGACCACTTGGTTGGTAGGCGACACCGAAGCGCGCGCCCAACCCAATGTGGCGTGCAGTGAACGCGACAAGTTTCTGTCATGCGAGTCGTACTTGGGAGTAAAGCCGTGGAACAGTGTGGACAAGACAATTCTGAGGGGTGCTCGATAATCGGTCGGCTCGTCAAGTCCGGAGTATGAAACCTGTCAGTGTGGATGAGCGGCGGGGAGTTGAGGTGATTACGCCGACATGGATAATATGGATGAGGGCGGCAAGGGTCCCAAGGAACTCTGATTCTAGACTAGAAGTCGACGGTGAAGGATGCAATCGAACCATCGAGGCCGATGCATGTGTACGACAACACAAGTAACTCTCTGGAAATATTCATGATCCTCCTTGGGCACTAAACCGCGTCGAGCTCTGCGAGGCACTATGACTACGACTGCGTCGGTCGTCACGGTGGTCTAAAAAGTGGCGTAGTGACTGCGATTACGGTCATTGCGACACGAGTCACGGTAGCCGCGGATTTCATCGTCACGATACTCGTCAAATTCACGGTCACGCGATGAGCCGCGGCGGTTCGGATGATGATTGCATATCATCGTGGCCGCAGTCACGATGCTCGGAGAAGCCGAGGAATTCTCGTTTCGATCCGGAAGAGGTGTCGCTAGAGGCATAGCCCAGCGTCTGGCTGGTTCTATTGTTGGAGAGCGTGAATGAGCTCCCCTATGTCGATCGGAGTGGTGAAGCAATTGACTCCGTCACCGCGTGGACGAGGGTTGACGTGGAACCACCGCCCGAGACACTGCTGGCCTGAGCGTACAGCTCATGTGCACAGCTCATGTGCACAGCGTTTGGCAGGGTTAGAATACCCGGTGTCATGCCCGCTACATTGGCGTCGACCTCCGCCACCTTGCTGAGATACAGTGTAGTCGGCTAGAGGGACAGCAACCCAGTCGTGTGGAAACTAGAAGTCGCGGCGCACAGCGTTCTGGTGCAAACCCCGCAGCAGCTTGGTCCAATCACAGGTATTGTGACCCGTCATACGATAGTACTCACACGTGCCGCGAGCGGCACGCTCCGCTTTGCATTGAGCACGGCGGAGAGGGTTGCCGTAACTGCTTTCGTTCGATGGAAGTTGTTTTGACCCACCATGTCAAGCGCCGACATTTGAGTCGTGCTTGACACTGTAGCGGGCCCGTGAGAGGCCGAGAATGGCTTGACCCCAAGGAAGTCGGGGTTCCGAGTTCCGAAGTGACAGAATGTTGCACCAAAAAGGTTCGCAACGCGGCGTATACAGTGCTCGGACGCGTCCGTGCCACACGTTTATTTCCGGCGTGATGCACGGAGGGATGGTCGCCTGTAGGGCAGATGAAAGGTGGGGGTCGCTGAGGGTTCGACCGCCGCCCAACTTTTCGACATTGTGTCGAAGCATGCCAAACATGCCACGGTTCACCGCAAGCGAGACGTAGCGCTCGAACTTGAAGGTATCTAACTGGGTGTAGACAGTCATTACCGACGAATGATCTTCCTCCTCGCTGCAGAACTTGCTGCGGAGACTGGAGATGATGCAATGAGCCCACTTGTTGAGGTTCGTCGCAGCCGCATCTCGACGAACAGAGTACAGCAGAGCGATGCTCCACCAGGGACTCCGTCACATTCGAGGGCAATGCAACAGTGAGTGCATCCAGTGCCGGCGGAGGCAATGCAGATGTAGCCGGGCACACGCAGAGGAAGGAGTAGGTAAAATGAAGAATGAATTGGCAGGGTTATGCTTTCTAGCTCTGCAACATGAATATGGAAAGTTAAGGCGACT